GGCTCCCGGGTTTGGGATCAGCGGGCTTGGCCCGCTTGGCTGCCGGCTGGAGCTGTGCCGGCCGCCGATCCCTCCCCAGAGACTCCGCCTCCTCCCTGGCCTGAGTCTCAAGCTCAATCTCCCTCTTCCGGGCATTTGCCTGAAGCTCAGCAAATGTCCGATACGAGGAGTTCGCAGCGAACTCCCGAATATCCCGTCTCAAAATGCTCAGGTAGCGGCTCATACGTGCCTGCTCAGTGGACACGTGCTCAGGGCAGAACATCGCCCTCTCATGAAACATCCTCGTGATCGCTGTAACTGACTCAGTACCCTGCTTGAGGGTCAGAAACTCCTGTGCCAAACGCTCCCTCTCCACCTGGGGAACGTACTCATCTCGGAACATGGTAGTGAACCTCTCCCAGGTCACTGCCGAAAGCTCAGCAGGCGTGAAATGCGCCGTCACAAACTTCCACCAGTCCTTCGCTCCCAAGCGAAGCTGGTTCAGCGCGAACCGAACCTTCAAATGCTCAGGGGATGAGCAAGTGAAGAAGCACCCCTCCATATCAGATATCCACCTCATAGCTGCCACCGGATCCTGTGTACCATCAAACTCTGGTGGTTTGGTGTTGCTGAACTCCCGAAACAGTGACGCATCACCTCCCTGGGGTCTCGCCGCAGCGATCGCTGCGGTAGCCGCTGCAACAGCAGCCTCAGAAAGAGCGGCATAACGCTCGTCAAATGTCTCAATCAGCGCGGTCTTAATAGACCCGAACATCTCTGGTATCTCAGCTCTGATGACCGCAGCCACCTCCTCATGAATGATCTGTCGAATCTCCTCATCACTAGCTCCGGCACCCTCCGGCATATGACGTGTCCTCACCATGATCAACCTCTGAAATACAACATGCGATAAATTAGAATTCACTCGAACATTCTTACACTCGACAATCCACCCCTCCTTGATTCTTGGTATCCCAAGATTCTTATTTGGACTGTGTACTGCCCCGGTGCTTTCAGTAGTACGGGCCCAATACTACTGTCCACACCGTCTCAGTACACACCCCAAACCTTCCTCTTCGGATCCCAATTCCCAAGTACTCTATCATGCGTAGACCACTCTCTAATAGATCTCTCATAAACCCCTTGCTGCTACCTACTCACTCTCAGCATCTCATAGCAGCTCACCCCTCCCTAGGCTAAGGCATCACAAATCAGGCCACTCTAGTCCTATTAGCAATACCTAGCCTACTCTAGCATGCAGATACATCATATCAATATTAATATCACGTAATATAAAGGTATTTTGGGAATTCACCGTTCGGGCGCTGACTGATCGTACACACGTTTCTTCCTGGAATTTGTTTCTTTTTCAAGAAAATCTTTTACTCTTAGAAAAGTTAGGTTTTCTTTTGAAAATATCTTTCCAATTCCTCAGTTTGAGTTCAAATACTCCCGAAGGTGTACCCGAATCCCTCAAACCAAGGCTCTGATACCAAATTGTAACACCGTAAATTTCAAAAAAATTTTCGATTTTCTTATAAAACATAATTCGATTAATATTCATCAAACAACCATATTAATTATCCAATATAGGTTAATACAAAATCCCAAGATCACAATGTAAAAACTCCGAGTGTGTGTGTACGGATCAAGCCGGCGCCTTCCCGCGGTCGTCACTAGTACCTGAAACAATAACATCAAACACTGTAAGCACAAGGCTTAGTGAGTTCCCCAAAATACCACATATAACACATATTAGCCACTCGAGGCTATAACTCTGTGGGTCCGTGCACCCAAACTCTGTGAACCCTCAGGTTCTAGCTCTGATAAACATGCACTACATAAATCACATAGAAATAATGCAGTACAACACATAACATACATAGCATACAAATACTCTATCACATAACTCTGGTTACCTACTCAAGGTAATATAGTATAGTGAGAAGACTCACCTCGCGTATCTCGGTATCTCACGAATCCTGGAAATCCTCGTGCTCGATCCTCCGAGCTCTAATCCTCCTATATCGTTATATGTTTCTAATTAACACTTTATATCTCTAAGGTTGACTATCTATAAGAAGTCAACACAGGTCAACTCTGGTCAACGGTCAACGGTCAACTCTGACCGGACTCGGCGAGTACCATGGCGACTCGGCGAGTCTAGACGTTTTCACCAACCTCTGAAATCCTCTTACTACACGTCGAGTATCCCCCCTTTACTCGACGAGTTTCACCTGAATGAATCGCGGGGCCACCCCGACTCAACTCGCCGAGTCTCAAGGACAACTCGGCGAGTCCAAGTTTGACTTAGTCCACTCGTCATCCCTCTCCAACTCACCCTGACTCACTGAGTCTACCCATGACTCGATTGGACCACTCGCTGAGCAGTCCCAAGGCAATCTTCAAGCTACTCGCCGAGTCGGATGAACAGACTCGGCGAGTCCATGCCATGCAACCACTCCAACTCGCTTCTAAGGTCAGATCTGCTTCCAAAAACTATAGATCTGGCCTCCCTCGACTGATTCATCACGTAAAGCTCCTATCTTGGTGCTCATAACACACCCTATAGCTCAATAATGGAGTTTTTGACCTAAGGCATGAGGATTCCAATCCAAAGCCTCCATTGATCCCCAAAAAGCTTGGGTAAAGGGACACTCTGGACCTCTAAGGGTCCAGATCTATGGTTCCAACCTCATAAGGGACCAAAAGGACACTAAATCTTGCCATAAAAGGGTTCAACAAACCCTAAATCTAGATAAACAACAACAAACAAGAAGGTAACTCGGATTTATTACCACAAAAGTGATGCTCTGGACTCCAAACCCACAGAAGTGGCTCCTTCTTGCTTTCCCTTGGCTAGCTCTTCTCCTTCCTTGCAACAATGGCACCTCCAAGGTCAATAATGGCCTCCTACTTAGCTCCAAATGCTCACACTCGATTAGGGTTTCACTCAAGGGGCTGGTGAGCACAAATGACGGCCATTAGGCCCTTTAAATAAGTCTCAAACCCGAGAAATTAGGGTTTCATTACACAACGCTGACTCGCCGAGTCCATATCCTGGACTCGTCGAGTCCAGGCGCGATCCCGCGTCCAAATCCGCGTCCCTACTCGTCGAGTCTGAGCTCCAACTCACCGAGTCCCCCTCACAAATCAACAAAATACAATAAACAAGATACCTGATAAAAATCCGGCTGTTACACAATGAAGCAGCCTTCGGATGCCCCTAAACCCAAATGTAACAAAAAAATAGTATAAGAATATTTGGCGACGTCAAACATAAATGTTTAATAAATATATATATATACCTTCTTAAAATCATTCCACTCCTCGGCTGTTAAGTTAAAAGTGTTTTTTTGAGAGTTGTATATATTACCAGTTTTGTTTTTTAAATACACCCATCCTGTGTATTTGGCTTTCAAATTGTCATATGCGTTTTTCATTTGTTTTTGACTCAACTTAAACCCAAATTTCTCCTTAAGAACTCTTCCAAGCCTTATCCATGAGTCTTTCTGCAAACTCAATCATTTTCTACCGACACTCTCTACTTCTTCAATACAAGTATCCAATAAGCATTTTAAATGCTCATTGGTCCATTGTTGTTTTTCTCCCATTTCTAATAAGCAATATATCATAGACAATAATAATTTCATAAGGTATTGTAGCATTCACAAATTGACAAATATGATTCCATAAAGTATTGCATATCATACACATTACAAAAAATATAATGATTTGAAACAATCAAGAGTATTTTCAAAACAAAATAACAATAAACAATCAACAACTAATTTTCTTAATTTCACAGCATTAAATAATTCACAATTGACAACATTGTTTCACAGCAATAAACAATTCACAATTGACATCATTATTTCACAGCAAGACTTTCTTTAATTTTCTTAATTTTCAGAATTATTTCATTACTTTCTACTCTTCTGATTCTGCACTACTTATGATACATAAACATGAAAAGAAAAAGCAAGACTTTCTTTAATTTTCTTAATTTTCAGCAAAATAGGCTCTATATATTTATATTATTTTCCAGAATAGCAATCAAACATGATAAATGACTTTGGTTCCATTATTTTTGTATGCAAAAACCTAATCTGATCATGTATCATACATGTATTCTAATAGCATATTGTGAAGGATCAGATATACATCTATTGTAATAACAATTAACAAGAATATGCTAGTGGTGGAGGTGTACCTAGATAGTGGAATTACCGGATTTGCCCTTTGAAGCACAAATGCCAAAAGCTGGAGCGGAAATTCCAAATAGAGAAGTGCTTGAAGAAAACTGGAAGGGTGTTTGATTGAGAACCACTGGCGGAGGGATAACAAGAAAACCCAATTAATCATCAATTTCATGTTAATTTCATTTGGAACTAAAAAAAAAACGCAAGGAAGATACCTATTCGCTTCACTGGTCGCTGAATCGATCGGAGAGCAGGCGGCGACGAGGGTGGTAATCGGCGACGGGGATGCCTTGATGGTTGACGCTGGTCGCCTGAATCGATCGTTGTACAAGTCAAATGCGCGCCTGATGCCTTCGATCGGAGAGCAGGCGGCTACGAGGGTGCTAATCGGCGACCGGGGGGGGGGGGGGGGCTAATCGGCGACGGGGATGCCTTCGATGGTCGATGGTCGATGGATTGAAGATGGATGGTTCTGTGGACGGTGGGAAGGTTTGACGATGGATGCGGATGCAATAGAAGACGTGTTTTTTTTTTTAAGGTTTAAAACACTCGCAGACGTTAGAAGATGTTGGCCAAGTCTGTGTGGTGAAGACCTTGCGCAGACGTTTTTATGTCTGCGCACTTCAGAAAAACAAACACACTGCAAACCTTTAAGTCTGCGCGTGGTCTGCGCCGCACAGACAAAAGAGCCCACGCAGATCTGCGGAGAAAAAACAAACACCACCTCACTATGTTTGCTGCGATCGTTTTTTTTTTTTTTTTTTAAAAAACAAACAAAACCCAAACATGGGTAAAAACCCGCCCCGAACCCGAAAAGTACCGGGAACGGTTCGTGAGGTTTTTGACACCCTTACGGCATTTGCCGTCTCTACTCTCGATTGCTCCAATAAACGGAGTTCGAGGTTTGAGCTTTGAAGCAGATGAAAGCAAGCTGACAATGGTTCAGGAAGATAGCAGTGGTGATGCTGAAGCCATCCTTCCTCCATGGCTCTACCTACTTTCTGCATTTCTCTCCATGGAACCATCGGATTCCATAATATCCATTTCCAGGTAAGCCGTTAACCCTGCCGGCTAACTGAACATCACCTTTTTCCGATTCACTCTGCTTGAAGAACCTAATACCACACTGTTCGTTTCTTTATTCTAACATCGTTCAGTTCGATATGATTTTTGTGAAACAAATGAAACCCTAGGGACTGTGGTGGTGGTGCAATTACGGAGAGCGTTCAGAACTTCGTTTGGGAACATTGTATTAGCAGAGTAGTGAGTACCTTTTCGTAATACTGTTTTTCATTAACAATTTTCTGATTTTCAGTATTTGATTCAACATAGGGTTTAGGGTTTTATAAGCACCACCACAGAAGAAGCTTGATTTTGTTTTAATGTCCCCATTACAGGACAGAAAAGCTCATGCACCTTACATAAGATCTTTCCTTAAAAAATTTATTCTTGAAATCGAGTCTGAAGGTGCTGTTGTTGTTGATGAACTTTATGAAGAATTAGCATTTTACATGGCTTCATTAAAGGTACACACATGCTATCATATCTTTTCATCTTACTTCTGTTGCAGAAGAAGAACAATAAACATAAAGGTTTTAAGGTTCATTGATATACGTCATCATGTTCTATCTAAAAGGGTGATAATTTCAAGGGAGACTCAAGGATTGTTAGGAAAATCTCATTTCTTTATCCTCCTGGTAAGTGTAATCCAACAATGAGAGATACATACATCATTTCATAATCTTCATTTTCATTTTTAATTCTCTGTTTCTTATGAAGATCACATTGAAGCTCAGATTTGCCAAAATCCAAAGAAAGTAATAGTACCACTTAATTGTTCACTTAACATGCTTGAAGGAGATACTGGGTAGGTATCATTGCTACTAGTAGTGTTATAGCTTTTTGTTACAATGTGCATTTGTAACAATTAAAATATTTATTTCAGGTGTTCCTTATGGCCCTCGAGCCTGTTCTTATCAGAGTTTATTCTTTCTTGTCCAGAATTATTCTCAATGAAGTCATGTTTTGAGGTATGATATATGTTTGGACACAATTAGAAAGTTACATTTTTGGTCCCCAAGTATAGCTAATTTTTTCAAATTTGGTCCCAAAAATGTAATTGACTCTTAAACATTTTATGATGTTTTTGTTTCTGTCCATCTATGAGAGCAGCTTGGATCAGGTGTTGGTTTGGTTGGCATATGTCTGGCACAGGTGAAGCCCTCCAAGGCAAGTCTCTACTCCCTTTTTCAAAGTTTACAATTTAGCCCCTGAACTTTGTTTTATTTATGTTTATGTCCCATTTTTAAAGAAGTTTCAAAAATTACAAAGCAACCCCTGAAACATATCATATTTGCTAATGCAGGTGGTTCTAAGTGATGGTGACCTGTCAACTTTAGCCAATTTGAAAGTCAACTTAGAGCTAAATCAGATGAATGCTCATGTCAAATGCTTACATCTACCATGGGAATCTGCACTCGAGAATGACCTTCAAAATCTTAATCCAGATATAGTGTAAGCACTTCAAATATGTACTTTTAGCCCTGTTTGTTTCACTGTGTACTAACTCAAAAAGTATGTGCAAAAGACGAAAACGCCCTTGTTATCCTCATGAGCATATTTATGCATGTGTAGGTTGGGGGCAGATGTGATATATGATCCGCAATGCATTCCGCATTTAATTCGTGTGATTTTTGCTCTGTTGACCTCAAAAAAGTCAAACTCCACTAATGGAGATAAAGACAATGAGTTTTTTGTTGCATCAAGAGGACAACCTGTTGCTTATATTGCATCTGTGGTGCGGAATGTTGACACTTTTAATTATTTTCTTAAGGTGGCAAAAGAGGCAAATCTTAGAGTTGTGGATATTACTGAAAATGTGAAGATGTATGATTTTCTTCCTTACATGCGATCTTACCAAAGATCATTAGTAAGATTACTTGAGATTTGTTACTCATTTCATTAGATCGATTTATTGAAAAGGATGTTAATGTCTTGAATCGTTTTTGATATTTATGTTAATTGTTAAGGTGATTTGGACGTATTTGGATAAGGTTAGTTTGTTGATAGGCGGTTAGGCGTAGGAGAAACAAGTTATTTTATGTTGATTTTTATTTTTGGCAAGGGTTAATAGGATAAAAGCATTATATTTTGTCATTTTTTCGCTTTTACCACCCTATTTTAATTTGTGTTAAACTAGTAACTCGTTTTTTTTTTTTTATCAGAGTTTATTGAGACCATTGTCACCTTATTGTAACCTTCAAATGTTGCTCAAATATGTAATTTTTTAAAGGGACATTTCCAATAAATACCAAAATTTTGGCTCAGTTTATGTATTTATCCCAAATTATTTTTTTACAAAAAATTCCTAAAAGCCGGTGAAATGTTGCATTTTGACCATTTTTGATCGGTTAGAAGTTAAAATCGGTAATTAATTAATTTGAGCTTATTTTGTAAACAATTTAAAATATTGAGAGTTTTTTTGCCAAAAAACTTTATTATTACTGTTATTATTATATTACAAATGTAAATAATTATATCATTTTTAAATTCTTTAATATATATGTAGAGATAAAGAACATGGTTTGACATGCGGAATTTAAGTTTGCACAATTGAATATGGTGATTTGGGTGCTAAAAGATATATTCGATCATAGTAAATGAGTACAAAAAGGGATCTAGTCTCTTAGTTTCATAAATATCTCACTCACTAATCATTATGACTACATCTTTCAAGCACACATCTACAAGTGAACAAACCCACCTTATATAGAGGTGTTTACATGTCTCTCTCTCTCACTCTAAAATACTCATTAGTGAAAAGGATAATATGCATCAAATGCAAGTGGGTCTATACAAGTCAAACCATTACAAAGTCATACATGAAGAACTTTGCACCCAAACATTCCCCCCCTCAAAATTAGGAATGGACGAGCCACTTCAAATCTTCCAAAATCAAGCACTACACGGTTCGAGCCTTAAAGGTGACACATGTTGAAACGAACTTCAATCTTCAACTCTTCCATGACTCTTCAATTTGGACTCTAGGATGTGAGACCATACAATCCGAGCAGCAACGAATGATTAATTCCAAATAATTACCCATAAGTTGCGCATAAAAACACACCCAAAAAATCTTCAATAAAACCAAACCCATTTCGAATACATCACTTCCGATCTTCCAATTTCATCATCTCGTGGCTTCAAAACTTCAAGATCACTTTGGTTTTCAAATCCGCGTAATATGAAAAATTTAAGTTCGAATTTCCATATAAAACTTCTCCCCCTTTTTATAATCGAAATTTGATTATAAAACTCCAAGGAAAAAGAACGTGCTCTATTTGGAAATTTTCATGTCAAAACTCCCCCTTAACATGTGACATAAACTTTGTGCTTCAACCCGGAAAACCCAAAAAATAATCAATTTTTGGCTTCCTTTACGGATCGCTTTTGATAAAATTTCTCAAAAATGGGTAGAAATTGTCAATTTCAAAATTCTACAGTGACCCGTTGCGCCCAAAACAATAAAATATGGAAAACTCTCCTCCTTTTCCAAAGCTGGGTAAAAAGCGTCAATTTGCACAAACTGCAGGAGCCTGAAATGCACAATCTTCATTTTTCAGCAAAAAAGAAATAATCCTTTTTCGAATTTGGGTGCAAACTGCCAAAAATTCAAAGTTTCAGGGGACCATCTTCGAAAATTCTACCCTTGTGCACAAATCATACGAAGCATGCCCAAAATATACAAAACTCCGGACATTTTTCGAATTTGGGTGAAAAGTGTCAAACATTCGAAACTTCTGTTAATGTTCGAAGTGACAAATTCGAAGGTTCAGGGGCCGTTTTCGAAACTTTGTGTTTTCTTTCAATTGATACGAATGATTTTGTCAATCATACAAAGCCATAAGGACTAGTTTCGAAAATTCTCTTTTCCTTCTTTTTAATTCATACGAAGCATACGAAGTCAAACCAATGAACGGTAACCATTCATATACATTTCCAAACACCCCTTTGTATGAATGTTGTATACAATCCCCCTTCGTATATTTCCCAAACAAAAATCATTCGTTCAAATCAATAACATCACCTCCCTCTTCGTGTAAATCCCAATATCATCTAACCATCTTTTGACTCCAAACACATCTTCGTACAAACCTTTTATACACTTCGATCAATAAAATGTAATCCAAACCTTCGACCCATCATATGGATACCCGATCATCCGACTCTAATTGCAATCGACACTTCAATCTATCCATTGATTTGTATCTTCGAAATTATCGACTTTACTCATTCGATCCTTTGATTAAAACAGTAGGAATCAAACCCAGAACAAATCAAAATCAAATTTTGACTTTCGTCTTTAAAAAAATAACGTTCTTCATCTAGTTCATCAGAACCAAAATCAAACCGTTCTTCATCCCTACTCCAAAACTGAATCATTGACTCCAAAAGCTCACAACGATTCGCTTTTTGTTCATCAACAAACAATACTCCGTTATAAACCAAACTCATAACAACCACCGATTTTAACCAATGGATCGTCGAAATCAAAATCGACTCAAGCTTTGACTGTCGATTCCCCAAACCCAATACAATTCTTCATCAATTGATTTCATAAAATCATTCATCCCTTCAAAATTACATCCATCAGCTATTCCAATATCAAACCAAAATCGAAATCAAGCAAATAACCATTCAATCAACTCGAAATTGCAAACAACAACATTTGATTCAAGGATTTGACTTCGTAGACTTTTAGATCCAAATATCTGATTCAGACACAAGAAGAAAGGAAAATCAAAATCGGTATTAAAGAAGTCGATTATAAAAAAAAAACTTAAACTGAATCAGACGAACGAATGGTACGGTATTAAGAATTCATATGTGACAAGCAACCTATTAATCGGATCTGGAATATTAAGAACTAATTTTGACTTTGAAGGTCAATGCTAGATGGAATATGATCTGGAATATCAAGAATTGATTCTGGATGCAAATTATATCAAGAACAGTAAAAGTTTATGAGATTTGGGCTTAGAAAAGATTAACTAAACAGTGTAGCATCGGAAATTTGGGCCTCTGTTAGAACTTGATGAACAGTAGATTTCGAAAAAAATGAGTTTTAATCTAATATCATAAAATTGATTTGAACAATTGCTATTTGAAACTCATATCAAACAACAAATAAGATTGGATTTAGACATGATCAACGAACAAAAAATTGGATCATCAATAGGATTTTTCAAAAAAAATTTGATCCAACGAGTCAAAACGATCACAATTCAAAAACGCAACGCACGATTCAAATATTACGAGAGATCATAGAGAGAGACTCACCAAAATTGTTCAAATTGCGACAAAAATTGCCAAGCCGAGAATCGTTCTTCAAATATCACGTTGATCTCAAAGACCCGCTCTGATATCAATTGTAGAGACAAAGAACATGGTTTGGCATGCGGAATTTAAATTTGCACGATTGAACATGGTGATTTGGATGCTAAAAGATATATTCGATCATAGTAAATGAGTACAAAAAGGGATCTAGTTTAGAACTTCATAAATATCTCATTCACTAATCACTATGACTACATCTCTCAAGCACACTTCTACAAGTGGACAAACCCACCTTATACAGAGGTGTTTACATGTCTCTCTCTCTCTCTCACTCTAAAATACTTATTAGTCAAAAGGCTAATGCACCACATGCAAGTGGTTATACACAAGTCAAACCATTACAAAGTCATACATAAAGAACTTTGCACCCCAACAATATATATATATATATATATATATATATATATATATATATATATATATATATATATATATATATATATATAACTATTTATTTAATAATATTAAAAACAACGAATTTTAAAAAGAAAAATAAAGTAATCTACCAACTTTTTAATATGTATTTGAAGAAAATAACATTTTGTTTTTAGCAAAATAACCACTTGGTATGAAATGGGGTTTTCGAATTAAGAAAAAACATTTTTTTTGACCGATTACCGAGTAAAACTTGGGATCTTGAAAACCAACGCAAGTTGATTGAGCATGGCATGACATGTTACGTTACCACCTGAAAATAAAACATAAATAAAGACGACCGCTGTAATTCGAACTTGATATCCCAAACATATATTATGCTAAACACTACTAATGATTGCACAATCCTCGATCGAAACCTATGTCATTTTCAAGTCGACTCCAGCCAATTTGAAGAGTAATTTTGTTTTCTTTTCAAGTCGACTTTCCTAATACTGAAAATGCGACAATAGAAGTTTTTAGCTATGTATGCCAGTTTTGTTATAAAGTTTTTTGTGGATATTTACTATAAATATTTAGTATAGCCAATTGTTTTATTTGTATCGTCATATATATATTAAATAACAATTCAATAACGTTCCACATTATGTTAAAAATATCATTAACAAGAGATTAATATTTTTCTCTAGTTTAGAAATGTTGTATGAATATTTCCTCAAACACAACCAATATATCATGTACCTGTAAAAACATTTTGTGTTTTACATGCTTTGTATTGTTCTTTTTCAGCATAGCACTCGCTTGTGTCTATGTGCTTGAGTTTATCGTTTCAGATGCAAATGATATCCCAGATAACGTCTTGGTTCACTGCAAATCAAAAAACATTAATATTAGTGATAAATAACTATCCTATTGTAACATCTACATTTTCAAAATACTATAAATATTGTGGTTGGACAATGACCATGTTATTTAATCATAGTAAAATGGAGTTTAACAAAAATCATTTTCAAATATGAGGGTTACAACTTTTGGTGTTACAAAATCAATATCTATAACCATAGTAAAAGAGAAGACTACACAACCTTATCTAAGTTCCTCAGAGTCTTTCTCTAGTGGTGTACTTGTGAACCTTAATCTACGTACCTGAGCATATAGCACAAACTATGCAATTCCGAAGGTTCATAGGCCACAAGGGTTTTAACTCAGTAAAGTGATTTAGATAACGTATTTACAATACAAGTAATAGAACTTATTATTGAACTACTCAAACAATATACAAGCTTTTCTAATACATAAGACTTCTTGTGTAACATTTTGTTTAAAGCAAAATAAGTAATTAAATATAAATAAATAAATAATAATACTTAAAAACTTCGAGATGTAATTTTTATATTTTATTTTAATTCTAAGTCGTATTATTAACGGGGTGTATGCATTTGGGTGTTAAAAGTTACATTTATGGGTGTTAAGGGTTAAACGGTATCATATGTACTAGTTATGAATAAACTTTTGGATGCTAGGGGCTGATTGGTAATTTTTGGATTCAATTGCAAAGGAATTCTAAGGGTGGGACTAAAAGTGTATAATGTCTTAAGATTGAAAATAGACGGGGGATTAGCTCGTCAACTCCGATACCCTTTTCTCTCATTCAAACCCTAAACCTATCTCTCATTAGAGCATCCGCCACTACCCTATCCTCTTGCTTCTCCGATCAACCAAGGCCACCGACGAACCATTGCTACCGACGAAATCATTCATTGCTGCTGTTTCCGTTGCTGCTGACGACGACGAACCGTGGCTGTCGCTGCTGCCGTTCATGGTTAAAGATGTACGAACATCTCCCATCTCCTTCTCCGTTTCTGTTTTGGTGCTACATCGCCCTTGCCGTTCCGATGACTGTTACGTTGTCGCCCTTCCGTTCGAATGCCACACGCCACCACAGGGGTGGCCGATATTGGGTGCGTATTTGGTGATTGATGATCGTGTTTCGGTGTTGTATGTGTGCTTTTCATGCGTAAGGATGCGTGTTTAAGTCTATGGGTAGGTGTAGATGGCCGGAATATGTGAATAACCACCATGACAACCAACTATGGTGGTTGCCGCCATGTTACCTTCTTCTGCTACCACTAGCCACCGTGAGAGGTGGTTGTGTGTGTGTGTGATATGGTGTAATTACGTGTGTGTATTGACATGATGTTGTAGGAGCGATTCTAGGCCCCCACTACCACCACCATGAGGTGGTGGCTGCCACCTCATGCCATCGTTCTACTGCCACCAGCCGCCACCTTGGGTGGCCGTGTGCTTGTGTGTGTGTGTTTTTGGACCTAAAACCTATAACTCTCACCATAAGAATGGTGGTTGCCACCTCCTGCCCACCTTCGACCACTGCCTGAGGTGGCAATATGTGGTGCCTGATTTATAAACACACATATATTTATTTAATTAACTGATTAACTAACTTATGAGTTGTAAACCTAATTAGGGTTTAAAAAACCCTAATGTCATGAAACCCTAATTTTGGAATTTGTCGGGACCCGCATCGAAACTATTTATTAGACTTAAAATATTAATCAATAATCCTTTGAAATTAACTTAGTGTAATATTGGAATTAATGGATTAAGTCCTTAATGGGTTAAGTGTTCTTACTTAACCCTAATCATCAATTTAGGTGAAAACCCTAATTTTATTTGGGCTTTAAGTTGGGCCTTCCTTTTGGGTTTAGGTGTTTGGGTTCTTGTTGGCTCATCTGAGAATAAGTGTATGGATAGGATATGTGGATGGGCTTTAGGGTAAGGCCTATGCAATGGGTTTGGGCCTAATTTGGCAAATTGGGCCATATATCGGGCCTTGATTTATTATTTAGATTTTAGGCTTCCAGAGTTTGAGTTTGGTTCTTGGTTTTGGCCCAAGCTAGGTTAGGGGTAAAATAGTCTCTTTACCCTAAGTATGGATTTATGGTTATGCATTGGAACCTAATTATTAATTGGGTGTTGTTTTGATGTTGATAGTTTGGGGAACTGTCAGCCAACAGGCATAGTTATATCTGTGGGAGTTCAGCAGTGTGAGGTGAGTCTCTTCACCGTTTGTATGGTACAAAGGCACCAATTCTGACCCATTTGCTTTATGTATAGTAGGAAGACCCGGTGGTTAGCCCTTGGCATTATGTATGAAAAACTAGGAGGTAGCTCCTGACACATTGTATGCAAGACCAGAGTTTAAACTCTGGAAAGTAATTTGTTAAGTAGTATAGTTTGTATGGTAGTTGTCTTTGTGATGCTTTCATGGAAGACCAGGAGGTGGGTCTTGGTACTTGTATGTAAGACCCTGGTTCCCCCCCCCCCCCCCCCCCCGCGGCCTTACAAATAAGACCATGAGGTGGCTCGTGGCATAATGGTAAGACTATGTGCAACATATATCACCTTTATTGATTATGAAATATGAATGTTATATACAACTCACTGTTATGTATGGCATGTACAGATCAGTTGATATGTATGGTATGTGGCATTTGGGGAACTCACTAAGCTTTGTGTTTATGGTTTCCAATTTTGTTTATGGTACTCCATTTTTCAAATAAATGAGCTCGGGGCAATCACAACGCTTACACCCGTATTTTTCCGCAATATTTGATCCTTAGGAATGAACTCTGATAATTGTTTCAGGTGAAATGCTTTTCAGTGTTTTGAACAAGTTACATTAGTGTTTTAATTATAATGAAAATGTAAAATTTACCTTCGATTTTTGGGATGTTACAAGTTGGTATTAGAGCCTTGGTTTGAGGGATTCCTGCACTCTCTTGGGAGTGTTTGAACTCAAACCGAGGACTTGGTATAGAACTTTTTCAAAAAGAAATCATTTTATAAAAAAGGTTTTAAAAAGAGAAAAGGGTGTGGTGCATGAAATCAGCCGAGCTCAAGTAAGTGGTTCCCAAAGTACCAATACATGTTTAATTATGTCATATGATATGACTCTGTGAATCGCATGCTAGATTAGGGCTAAGGATCTGCTCAGTATTACATGATAGGAGAGATGCCTTTATATGCTTGATTGTATGAGCTTTAGTATTGCATGCTAGTATGTATATATATATATATATATATATATATATATATATATATATATATATATATATATATATATATTATATATATATGATAAGTGGATAGAATGGATGGATTAGAGTATGTTGGTTAGATTTTTCCATTGTCTAAATGCTGCTTGCTTTATGCTTTGTGGGACTCTTAGTGAGGTGAATTAACTGCTAAGTGAATACGTTAAGTCACATGTGACCCAGGTTAAATAATCTTCGAGTGATGGATTTGACCCTATTACGCAACTCTTGTTTGAGTCCAACTGTTCTAGGGTTGAGTCTTCTACTCGAAGGATTATATAATCTCTGTTGCATATGATTGTATTCATGAGGAAGCTAATTGAAATTGGTAGGAATCCTTCAACTAATGAGGACTGGGTGGGTTCGGGAACCTAGGAAAGCCTAGGAAATGCTTAAATTGATTAGTAGTGCGATTTAGCGAGTTTTGGGTGCATTAGTTGAGAAAGTGACTCAAAGGATTTGGGAGGATTGCTGAGGAAAGTATGGATAGATGTGGAAGGTAGCATTGGGCCCGTACTACTGAAAGCACAAGATCCATATGTTGGATTAGGTGTCTAAGCCCATAACTATTATTGGTATGTACTTGACCTGAGAGTAGCATGGTCCATTTGGGTTGCATGGCACCGGAACAATCTGAAGAATGGATAATTGAGAAGAGGTTATTTATGGTTTATTAATATATTATAAGTTCTAATATATTAATATGAAATCATATTATTTAATTAGTATTGTACAAGAATTAATTTGGAATTAATTTTGTGATCAAAAGAGACTAATTAAATATAAGGGGTTGATATGGTAAATCATTCATTCTTATAAAGTGAGCTTATGATCCATAGTTCTTCATGTTGGGCTAAACCTATGTGGTAACCCATGGATACTCCATGGAGGTTTTAATCCATGGAGCATGAAGGATATGGAAAGTTATTAGGGTTTACACAGTGTAACCGTAGTTTGCTACACTATATAAGAACCCCTCTAGCTCTTTAAATTGGCACTAGTGGAAACACAAGAGGGCTAGCCGATTTTATGAGTGCAAGTGACCTACTCTCAAGTTCCTCCATTGTTGGTGGTGTTGTGTGATTCCATTTGAGGTGCAACATTTGGGGTACTAAGTTCTTAAAGGTCCAAGGCTTCCAACTACAACAAAAGGTATGTCATCTAACTTGTTTTATTACCCAAGTACCAAAGTTTAGTATGCTAGTTAGGGTAATACCTTGGAAAGTTCAAGTTTGCATGTATAATAGAGAAAACACAGATCCAAGGTATTCAGGGTTGCATGCACACCTTAGGAGTGTTAGAAAGCTCAAAACCCAACAATGGTATTAGAGCCTAGGCTTGTTTTCAATTATACTTGATGCTACTTGTTGTTTAAGGTTGAAAAATCGTTTTTCTGCTGTTCTGGACAACAGACCCGCCAAGTCCAAGCAAAATTTCGACCAACTCACCGAGTTTGTTCTTGCACTCGACGAGTTGGAGCCCCAAGAATGCAGTTTTTCGAGTTTTTTTGGCTAAAGTTGGACTAGTATCATTACCCTAAACTGTTTTTGAACTTATAAACCTGTTTTTGATGTGGTAATGATCATGCTTATCCAATTTAAAAGATAATTGTCAAAGTTTCATGTTTTGTATTAGCTTGCATGGTTAGGCTAATTACATGAAATTTGTTTGATTTGAATTGTCTTATTCTGATGAGTTTAATTTAGATCATAGAAAAATTGTTTGATTTTCTTGTTAAAATTTTTGATCTAAATGATTTTGATGAATTCCGTAACTTGTCCTCAAGTTATGGAAAATGAAAAATTATCTTTTAAAGAAATCATTAAAGTCATAGGTTATGAACTTGAAGAGTGTTTTTCTCATAAATGGTATTTTATGAACTCCATAACTTATCCTTAAGTTATGGAATGCCAATAGTCTTTTCATAAAATCTTTATTAAACTCATAAGTTATGGATTCCAAAAGTTTTGAAAGTTACTAAACTTTCCCTCAAGTTTTGGAATTTGTAAATGTAAAAGTCTAACTTTTGAAACATTTAGTTCTAAACCCTAGAATTTTAAAGGTTTAAAATTCAATCCTTATACTATTATAATATTATAGGTTTAATATATATATATATATATATATATATATATATATATATATATATATATATGTATAAGAGTAAAGTCAATCTTACCTTTAGTAGGCCTCATTCACGAAGTCGGTCTATAAGAGGGGGGGGGGGGTACAAGGTTACTGCCTATAAAATGGCAGTTTAACGGGTGTCCACTCTCACCGACCGCTTCCTTGACTGGTGGAGGGTCGTTAGTCGAACGGGTATGATAGGACTCTAATTCTCCCTTCATTAAAAGTATAATGATAAATATAAGGTAACTAAACACTTATAAATTTCCAAATCTTAGTTACTTAGGAAAATGTGAACATGGTGCTAACCCATGAAATTGCACTTTGCACCTTGTTAAGTCATTAGTGGAGCGTGTGTGATTAACCGACACCCTAATCTGGACTGACAGTGCATGGAAAAGGGTAGCTTGATGTTAATCATATAATGGAGCGTGTGTGGTTAACCGACACATTGATTAGGTGGTTGTAACATTGGGTGTACGTATAACACCCGTTCCTCGAGGTATTATTTAACTTATTGAGTTAATAATTGTTTTGGACTATCACTTGGACAATGGATTCATTTTGTGACATCCCCAAAATCACGGCCAGGAAAGACCGATTTAATTTACACTTTTAAAATAATTCAAGAGCAATCTTATGATTAAAAGAGTTGCGTCCCCAAAACAATACATGATAAAATAAGGTTTATCAAAGCATTTGTTAAAGAAATGTATTTTCATTATTTATCAATACTCGGGATGTCATGTTCCGATACAGCCACAAAAGCATAAACAATAAAACATAGACCTTACACAGTTACATACAACTACTGGTCTATAAGCAAAAATATCTTTACAGTTACATACAACTACCTGTAATACAAAGAAACCGAGTGGGTCAGGCTTGGGAGCCTGATGAGCATATAGGGTTTTCAACCCACAATAAATAATTATATTTCATTTCACCAACCAATAGTAACCCGATTACCCATTTCCGTTATCCTCACTTTACGTCCCTATGACAGCAAGTATTATAAGGGACCTAATCTAGGATTTTCATCGGGACGAACACTACTGCAAAGGGGTTTCCTAAATAATAGATGTCCTAAAGGCAACCATGAGGGGGATAGAATACAGCAAATGAACACCCAAGTTCACTACACCTACAAGTTA